GCAAGGAGGATTGGCGCTCTGCTAGGCGTGGGTGCTGAATGCTGCTGTCGTACGCCGGCATGAGCAGGCTGCTCTAGCCATTGGGAGGCGACCTCTCTCAGGCTCCGTAGCAGCGGACTAGCCGATGGCTAGCAGCGTATTGGGCGTGGAACCGCAAGAGTCGTGAAGAGGGTGCGTGTGTTAGAAAGGAGGGTTGTTGCTACGACTTGAGGAGTTATCAAGCAGTCAGGGGTCAGTGATTTGACCCTAGTTTGACCAAGTTGTATCGCGTTTTGGCCGCCATTGCAGGGCCCTCAGGCGCTGAAGATTTGAAGGCCCTCTCCTGCGAGTCTGAATGCAACTCCCCTGAATCTGAGAGTCTTAAACCCTCTCCTTCTGCCCTCTCTCCTCAAAGTCTGGTCCTTTGGCTCTAAGAGGAAGGCGACAGGCGGGCGTGTGACCCGTAACCCGCGCCAAAGCCTTTGTGGGAGATTGCCCCGCCGATTGGGGGAGCTTTGAACGGGACTCAGGCGGAGTCCTGGAGGCAGGGAACTGAGTGGTAATCCCGTGACTCCCTTTATAAACTCAATTATAACCCCTATCTGTACATCCTTCTACGTTTGACTGAGTGTATTGTGTGGATCCTGTACTTGGTTTTGAGCTTGACGTTCAGGACATAAGTCAGACTGAAATAAAGGAATGTGCATGCAATTTCAGTTTCAGACTTTGTTTGGTTGCCTGAAAGCACATTGTGAACAAAAAGGGATTGCATCTGGGGGAAGGTTGGGAGGAAGGCAGTATTGCGTGAAGTCTGGTCGGGTCATTAAGGCTGGGAGGTCCCCATAAGTTTGGGGACGCCCAACACTTTGTTTATTTTTGGTTGCATGGAGCCTCAGGCCGCTCTATAAGTTTAGGTAGCCTGAAGCTCTGAAGGCTGGGATGTCCCCATAAGTTTGGGGAGACCTCGTGCTGTGAATTTCGTGGAGGGTCAGAACGCTCTATAAGTTTAGGTGTCCTGACTGCTCTGACTTACGAGGGTTTGACTGTGAGGGACTTTCAGGGAGCCGAGGCGCTCTATAAGCTTAGGTACCTTGGGTTGCCTTGCCTTACTTGGGGTTCTCTCAGTTTCTTGAGTTCCGAATGAGGAGGTCTGAGCCGCTCTATAAGTTTAGGTGGCTCAACCCCTCTCCTATTTTGTTATGAGGGAATAACTCTGGTAGGAGTCAGACCGCTCTATAAGTTTAGGTAGTCTGGCCCAATGCCTCGCACATGTTGGAACCCAGTAGATATAATCTGGCTATATAGTATTAATATGTTGTTAAGAACAGGCTAGTCAGACCGCTCTATAAGTTTAGGTAGCCTGAATATAGCTTATCACAAAGAAGAGAGTATAACTAAATAAGTATAGCCGAAGGTAAACTTGGGCAGGCTGAGCAATGTTCTAAGTTGAGCGGCTCAGCCTTATGTCCCCTTTTGAAAATTAAGTTCAGAGAGGTATCTATAATTTGGCTATTTAAACAGTTCAGCGTGACTAGAGTGGTCTAGTCATACGCCCAAGGAAGAGAGAAGTAGTTGTACCCTTTGTTTGTGTATATCTGGCCAAGTCAGAACGCTCTATAAGTTTAGGTATTCTGACTTTGGGTCTGGCTAAGTTAGGCGCGCTCTGTAAGTTCAGGTGCCCTAACCTATGCCTTATGTAAGTTGGGTATGAGGGGATAACTCACTGAAAGATCATGAACTATTGTTTGCTCAGATTGGCTTGGGGATGGTGAGAGTACTTACCTTTGTGGTTTGGCCTGCATGTGGCTGAGAGAGAATACTACTTGGTCTGGGCTTCAGGTTGATAGGTAGTTGCTCTAGAGGCTAGCCACGTGCTAGAGCGATAGGAGTTAGGTCAATTCCTGCATTTTCTCAGCTGACTTTATTTTACTTAAATCGATTCTTGCATTTTTTTAGGCTCGCTATTATACTTGGACTGGTATAAATTTTGGTAAACTACTTTCTCTATGCGAAGCGCTGCCGAAATTTCTACAGATTCAATGAGTTAGATGGATTTTGACTTGTCAAAGTTCAGCTTGTCTTTTCGTAATACTTGACTTAATAAAAATTTGGAAAGCCTCATTTTCTAAAAGGAGTGCTGCCCAAATTTTTGCTAATTCAGGGAGTTAAACAAAATTGTGCTTTGGGATGTCAGAGTTAGTCTTAGGTTCTAAACTTGGCTTTGTATAAATTTTGGGAGAGCACTTTTATAGGGGGAGTGCTGCCGAAATTTCTGCAAAACTAAGGAGTTAGCCAGACTTTGTCTAAGTTGAGCTTAAGGTTGGGAGCTGAGTTCAAATATGACTTGGTATAAATCTGGTAAATCCCCAATTCCAAAGGGGGGTGCTGCACAAATTTCTGCTAATTTAGGGAGTTAGACAAAACTTGACTTTCTAGAATCATGTATTACTCTGACTTTTGATATTTGGGTTTGTATAAATCCTGAAAAGACACTTTTCCTACGGGAAGCGCTGCCGAAATTTTCTTTGATCTAGAAGAGTTATATTATATTTTGACAGGTGACGATCTTAGCAGTCCATCCTGAATAGAGGAGATTCTGCCATTAGCCTACCTTTGCTTGGGCACTGGCCTAGAGGTAGGCTTGGACTTAGCTGGCAGATAAACTAGAGTGAGATCCTGATATGGGGATTGTTCTCCATGAATTTGTAGACTTAGCTTGAGTTTGGCCTATCTTGTGTTACAGGTCCTCCTAATCGGTTGATTCAAGTTCAGGACTAGATTCAGCTTGATCCCTTGAGGATCACCTTCTGTTATCACTGATAACAGGTCGGTTGCCGATTCGTCGGTCTTCGACTCAATTCCAACTCACTCTCCATACTCAACCTAAAAGGCTTTAGCCCTGGTGGTTTTACTGTTTGTTAAGGGTTTCACCCGGACTTTTATTGAATGGCCTTTTAACAAAGGTACTGAGTATTTTAGTTGAGGTTGGCTGGATCGGCAATTGGGGCTTGCATGGCTAAAGCGAATGGGTATGAGCACAGAGAATGAGTGGGGTTGACTCTGTGTAGTGCGTGTTTTGTCGTTTGATTTTTGATGTGATGAAAGGTATGTCCTGTGGCTCAGATTTTGGATTCGGATTGCCTGCAACCCATATACTCATACACGGTTGTGAGGAGTCCCACTGTGCCTGTGAGAAGTGATCGTCGCAACTCTATCTCCTTTGTGCGTGTATGAGTGGGTGTGTTTATGATGGACATTTAAGAGACCTAAGAGGCCCATGTTAAAAACCCGTTTAAAGGTTGGAATTGAGGGGTAGGAAGGACCCTCCCTTCTGTTAATTTGCGTCTTGAGGCTTTCTTAGTCGGACGTTGGTCCTAGGTCGGCATTCAAGGTCCTTGTCTAGGACATCCCAAGCCCTAGACTCTGCCGGGGAGGAGTTTCCCGTTGCACAGAGCGTAATTATTTTGGCCGGCAAGATACCCCACCTTGAAGGCCGAACGACATGTCCTTCAACCGTTCAACATCGTGAGGGGTGACCCCCTCGTGATGTGTTCCTTCAGCCATTCAATGTCGCGAGGCCGGAGCCGTGATTACCACATATGATTGGCATCGTTGGTCGACATGGGGCTGGCCGGCGACCGCGCGGCTGTATGTTAAAATCCTGCGTGCGATGCTTCGCCGCCCCAACACCTAAAAGTTATGGGATCGGGAGGCTCGCACGTAGACGCCAACGCTTGAGGTTATTGTAGGTCGTGGGCAGCACCCAAGGGGAGAGAGGGTACCCTAAAGATCATGACCCCGCTTGGAGCGAAAGGGGGGCCCTCGACTCATTCGTCTGCTTTTTGAAGTTTTTATGGTTGGACGTTGTAGTCCGTGGCAGCCGTTAAAGCCAAACCCCTTGATGTCCAACTGCCACGACAACTTAAAGCTGTCTACTCAACCCCTCTGCACAGGGTGCAGAAGAGGGTGTGGTTTTCAACCGCGCATGGCAGTTGTCCAGCGTCGAGAGATTAACCCTCAAGGCGCGCGTCAGCCGACACTTGAGTGTCGAATGAGGCGTCGAGATTAACGAGGACTGCTCGATTATGGGCATCATAGGGCACGTCGTCACTGCGACTGCTTGCGCACGTTCGCATTGCGAGCCGATATGAGTTAGCCTTGTGTCCGCGCGGTTTTAATCAAAGTCTCGCGCGCAACGCCTATCTAATTTCCACATCGGAAAGTTATGGGTTGGCTACCGAGGGGCTAGGAGCGTTGTCGCGTTGTTTGTGTTGTGTCGTTTCGTGAGTGTATGTGTTTTATTTTTGTGTTCGTAAAGTGGTGTGCGTGTGGTGTGTGGGATGCGTCCTAGTCGACCGGCGACGAACCGCGCTTGGGACTTCAGCCCCCCGAAGATGTCGGTTCGCGTGCGGGTTCAATAGGCGTATTACCGCGCGTACCCCCTATGCAACAGCGAACGAGAAACGCCTTCGGCTGGTCCACCTCTGCGATTGCAACTGATTAGCTTTCGTACTGTGGACTGGTAGCTCGGCGGGGATACGCCCACCGATGGGAGGTGACAGCTCCCGTAAGGTGGAGGTAAGTCGTGCCTCGCGTAGGCCCTATCCTGCTGTAGGGGTTCGCGAGAGGTATAGCTGGCACACTCGGTTGGAGCGGCCTAAGGAAGCTCCATTTGTGTGTTCGTGGCGAGGTTGGTCCAACTCCTCCGTGACGCGGCCAAAAGGGTCCCGCGCTGCCACGCGCAATGCCGGACCGATGCGCGCGACACGTGGCACCGTTGCCGGGAATAACGGAAGCCTACCGTTGTCCCTGGTAGAACGACATCCGGCTATGGGAGTGAAGGAGAAATTAGGCATATGAGTGAGTAAAGGAAAGACTATGAGATGGACTATATGGTGATCTGTATGACTGAGGGTTGAATGATTGATTGATTGGCGGCTTGGCTGACGACTTGAATAAGGCAAGTGTGCGAGGAGATCTTATGGTAAGGGTAGGCCTTATCTAGGTAGGCCTAAGGGAGAATGAGAAGAGAGATGCCTGCCAGGTCCAAAGCATCGGATGTTTGAGGGGCCCACCCGATAGGGTCGTGAAGGATTGAGTCGCTGAGTGGGGTCTTTCATCCTATCGTTTCTTATAACAAAAATTTCGAAGCCGGAAATGGTTGATCAAGATGCCAGAGGAGATACCGGACGGTGGAAGAAGGCTTGTGACTCTCGACGACCTCATCGATGCCTTGGACAAGCGCGAGAGGGCGCCAAGCAATGTGCCAAAGGTTGAGACATTCCACTTCAAGGGGGATCGTGTATCTGACTGGTTGGATCTGACAGAGCAGGCGCTGGTAGGACTGTCAGATGAGGTCAAGCTCCAGCGAGTCCTGAGGTACGTCCTGCATAGTCACCATCGGGAAGTAAGTAAGGTCGTGGACGCCGCCGGTGGCAGTTGGACAAAGTTTGGGGACCTAATGCGAAGGAAGTACAGGCTGGGGGATAGCCTGTTGACCATGGCCGACTTGGAGGCCATGAACAAGGAAGACTTTTCTACCATTGGGGCGTTCGTGCACGAGTTCAAGAAGAAGGCGAGGAAGGTGCACGGGATTTCTGAGGAGGCGCAGTGCGCCACATTTTTGGGGCTACTTACGGGCTCGGCGGCCACAGAGCTGACAAAGTATGGGGAAGGGAGCGAGAGTCTCACCTGGGCAACCATTGATAAGGGAGTGGAAGAAGGGAGCCTGGACCAGGTGGAGCAGCACCAAATGAGGTTGCAAAGGCGCAAGAGGAAGGAGAGGGATGCTACCGCATTCGGAACCCCAGGGGTCAAGAGAATCGTCACGGACGTTTTGGCGGCACTGGGATATGATAACGAAGCAGAGATACAGAAAAGAGGGGTGCTAGTGGCCCAAGGCCGAGTGTCAGGGGCAGTAGATGAGGAGGCTGGGCAGGAAGACTATGGCGGAGGGGAGACGGGCTCCCAAGCCCTGACTAAGGCCCAGAGGAAGCAACGCAATCTGCTGTTGGGAGGACAGGGGTCAGGGAAGGGGCAGGCTCCCCAAGTCATTGCCGCACCACCGCCTGTCGCAGCCGCCGCGCCAGCGCCAGCAGGACCATCGCACATGGGGCTGCCACCAGCTTGCGGGCACTGGGTGCCGCATTGTCAGTCCGCGCCCTGGCCCAGTTGCAACCACTGTGTCTCGTGTGGAGGGAGTCAGGCCCACACGGGACACATGGTCCCCTACTCCTGCCCATCAGCAAGTATGGGCCCCCCGAGCTACCCAGCGGCTCAAGGCCAGCCTATGGCCCAACTGCCGCCCTCCCAACAGGCCTCGCAAGCCAGTGTGGTCGAAAGAGGGGGCCAAGGACAAGGCGGGCAAGGCAATGGGAGTCGGGGCCAAGGGGGTAGAGGAGGGGGTGGCCGGGGGCGAGGAGGAAATGGTGGAGGCCGTGGAGGAGGTTGGAGTGGTCAGGGGGGTCAGAACCAAGGCGGCCAGGGCAGCCAGGAAGGGGGCCAAGGGTATAGGAGGCCCCGCTTCAATTGGCGGAACGCAACTCGTTGGCATTGTGGCGAGGTGGGCCACATCGTACTGTTCTGCCAACAGCGGCGGGAATACGAGCTGGCAGGATTGATTTCCTCATGCATGGATGGGGACATATACGATAGGTGGGGGAAGCACATCGATCCCAAGACCCAGGGAGGAATCAGGCAGGAAGCCCTCAGGCGAGCGGCGGCAGGGCCTCCAGCAGCCCCAACAATGTTCAGGATATGGCAGGAAAGGCAGGATCCGGGTGTGAGAGTCGATGAGATTGCGAATGAAAGTGAGGAAGTGACTCAACGGCTGAAGGCGGGGAATGTAAAGGAGGAACCGACAGCAGTTGAGTCAGACGACAAGGAGTTGGAAGTGGTGGAAGAGTCGGCTTTGACCATCCTCGAAAGGATGGAGGACCGGCTGGCGAAGGTCGGCAGGTACCAGGAACGACTGAGAGTGATGTGCGAAGAGGCCCAAGAATAGGAAATGAACCTTCCTTAAGTAATGCTCTATGGGTCCGGCCCGTAGTCATCATCAGGACCACAAGGGTGTCCAAGTGTGGCGACGGCCGGGGCAGGTCCTAGGTCAGGGATGACCTTCAGACCCCCTACGTCGCATGGGAGGGTGCCACAGGCCGCGCAGACTAGGGGCCAAAGCAAGGCTACCGCTAGTCAGGGGCCTAGCCAGACACCTGGTCGGGTGCCTCCTCGAAAGGAACCTGAGCCTGAACGAAGGAAGGAAGTGGTGGAGGTTCAAGAAGAGGAGGATGAGGGTGATGACGAAGATGACGAGAGGCTCCGCTAAGAGGAAGATCAGCGAGTTGAGCAGAGGGCCAAGAAGAGAGGGATTCAAGGAGGGGCGGAGCCAAGTCTGCACGATGGCGCGCCAAAAAGGAAGAAGTATGCGGTCCGGCTAGAGGAGGGCTTTGACGTGGAGCGAATGGTGGACAATCTCCTGGAGGGCCACAATGAAATGATGAATCTAAAGGACATCTTGGCGTCGGCACCGAGACTCCGTGGCGAGCTGAAAGGGCGGCTCTCACGGAGGTTAGTGCCCAACGTCCACCTAAGCTCAATTCTGCCCAGGGAGATGAAGTGGACCGAGGCGGGCACCAGGATGGATTGGAAATGTGCGGCATGCAGGTTGGTGGATCTGAAGGTGAGAGACCAGCCGAGCATCGCAATGGTGGACACAGGCGCTGAGATGAATATCATCCGAGAGCGGAACACGGCCATCCTAGGGCTGGAGGTTGACCATTCGGACCATGGTGTGCTGCACGGTGCCAACTGTAAGGCAATTTTCTGCGGCACCGCGTCTAACGTGATGGTGGAAATTGGGAGGGTAAGGGCGCGAACGTGCTTCTTCGTCATGCCCGATGTCGACCACCCTATCCTTCTGGGAGGTCGTTCCTCTGTCGAACGAAGACTTTGGTCTTCAATAGGCACGAGGGGACGATGATCCTGACCCTGTCCGATTCGGCGTGCAGGAATTATGAGATCATTAAGTGCCGGAACACAGGACCAGGAAGTGGGAGGAACAGGCTCAACCTCGGCTCCTTTACCTTCGAGGAGTCTGAGTACGCATGACGGAGACTCCGGGGAGCATACGCAGGTTGGGCCGTGCCGTATTAATGATGAGAATAAGGAGGGGCTGATAATTGACGAGCCTGGCTTCCTTTCGCCCCAGGAGAGGACCTTGATGGTGGAGACCATGAAGAGGAGGCATTGCGCATATGCGTTTAACGATGACGAGTGTGGGAGGTTGGATGTGGATAAGATTTCAATGATACGAATCCATACCGTCCCACACGAGCCGTGGAATCTGAGGGGCATGCGATATCCGAATCCGGATGAGGAAAAGAAGGTGGTGGAATATCTGGATGGGAAAATGCGGACGTACGTGACAGACTATTCCAGTGGACCATATGCCTCCCCTTGGTTTTGCTTCATCAAGCCGAACGGGACATTACTGTGGGTGCAGGATTTGCAACGGTTGAATGCGGTGACAGTGCGAGACGCGGGAGGATTGTCGAACGCGGACGCCCTGTCAGAGTCATGCGCGGGAAGACCTATAATCTCACTTATAGACCTTTATTCTGGGTATGCTGTATACCCACCGGATAGGCCGGTGATGGCAATGCATACGCCAAGGGGGCTGATCCATATGAATGTGGCCCCTCAGGGATGGACTAATTTGGTGGCAATGGTGCAAAGGCACATGATTAGGGCCATGCAGATGGTTACTCCACATATCACTCAGCCCTACATTGATGATTTGGTGGTCAAGGGTCCAAAGGAGAAGGAGGAAGACGAAGTGATGCCGGGAGTGAGGCGGTTCGTCGGGAAGCACATCCTGGATATCGAGCAGGTTTTGGGTCTGCTGGAAGAACACAACCTGACGGCGAGCGGCCCCAAGTCGAAGCATTGTATGAGGGAGGTGACGATTCTAGGCTTTGTCTGCAATGAGAAGGGTTGGAGGCCTGATGTGAAGAAAACGGACAAGATCCTAGAGTGGTCAGTCCCCTTTCAGTCGATAACGGACGTAAGGATCAGAAAGTTGTGGGTGTTGGAGGAGTTTTGTGAAAGACTTCCCTACCAAGACGGAGCATTTGAGGAAGCTGGTGCGTCAGAATCAGGAATGGGTCTGGGGCGAAGACCAGGAAAAGGTTGTGGAAAGGATGAAGGGAGAGTTCAATAAAGGAGGCTTAGTGCTGGGAGCGCCAAATTATAAGGCTACGGAGGAATAGCCATTCGTTGTCGAGACGGACGCTGGGCCAGCTGCCTTAGGAGGAGTCCTGATTTAGGCAGATGCAGATGGGAAGGAGAGGTCGCTAAGGTTTGAAAGTCGTACTCTCAATACGACTGCGAGAAATTACTCGCAGTTTAAAAAGGAGACGTTGGCGGTGCTCCATTGCCTAAAGACCTTCCGGAACTATATCTTTGGCAGGAGGTTCATCTTGAGGGTGGACCCTACCGCGCTTGCATGTTCCCTGAAAAGTTATACTCGATCTGACCCAACCATCGCAAGGTGGTTGACTTATATTTGGATGTTTAACTTTGAGCTTGGAGAGGAATCCAGGGAACAAAAACAGGGCAGATGGGTTGAGTCGTATCAACTGGGACGGGGGGAGCCAGGAGTCAGTTGAGGATACCCCACCAGTCGACGGGTTCTTGGATCAGGAGAAGGATGTCCGCCTCCACATAAATGAATGGTCATTGAAGGTGCCTAGCTGCGTCACGCATCCCATATGGCTAGCGCCGAGGGGATACGAGCGAAAGGAGGAGTTGGTCCTCAAGCCCTTCCAATAAGAAGATTCGTGGGGGAGTAGGGATGTTGGCTGGATGATGAAGTTAGCAATGGCAGGTATGCATAGTCTGGCGGAGGAGGTAAGGACAATAGAGGAAGGGCCAACTCAGGTAGAGAAGCATGAGCAATTAATGGGAGGAATGTACTTGCTCATTAATACACTCCTGCAGGGGAACTTTAACCAGAGGAGCTCATCATGTCCTGAGGAGAGCGAACTGCTTATTCCTGAAAGCCAGGACGACGAGTTCGAAGAGGGAGAGATCAGGGAGGCCTTCCGCGCTGAGGAGTATGACGGGATCTATCGGGAGTTGGGTTTACTCCTATCGTGCGAAATAAGGGATAGGGACGCAAGTGCTAAAGCCCAGAAGATGAGACATCTCTACGTAGTAAGAGATGATCATCTGTTTATAAAGCGACAGGTTGGAAACCCCAAGAGGATCGTATGTGGGAGGAACCGGCAGATCGATGTCATAGCAGCCCTACACGATGGTATAGCAGGGGGGCATTGAGGGGTTAGTGCCACGTGCGCAAAGATAAGCGAGTTATACCATTGGGATGGAATGCTGATTATGGTCATAAAGTACTGCCAGTCATGTGTACCTTGCCAGCAGAGGCCAGCGCAAAGGCCTGGGGAGCCCCTGCACCCCAGATTGGAAAAGGAAGGGGGTGCAGTCGTACACCTAGACCTATTGTTTATGCCACTCGGGGAGGATGGAAGTAACTATATTATTGACGCACGGAATAACCTTACCGGTGTCAAGCGCATCGGTCCGGCACCTCACACGGCAGCACGGGACCCTCTCGGCCGCGTCATGCAGGAGTTGGATCAATCTCGACATAACACGCAAACGGAGCTTCCTTAGGCCGCTTTGGCCGAGTGCGCCAGCCATACCTCTAGTGAGACCCTACGACAGGATAGGGCCGACACGAGGCACGACTTACCTCCACCTTACGGGAGTTGTCCCCTCTAATCGGTGGGCGTATCCCTGCCGAGCTACCAGCCCACAATACGAAAGTTAACGAGTTGCAATCGCAGAGGTGGACCAGCCGAGGGCGTTTCTCGCTCACTGCAGCATAGGGGGTACGCGCGGTAATACGGCTATCGGTCCCGCACGCGAGCCGACATCTTGGGGGGCTGAAGTCCCAAGTGTGACTCGACGTCGGTCGACTAGGACGCATCCCACCTACCACGCGCACACCACCTCTACGAACACAAAAATAAAACACACGCACACGCTCACACGTACGTACAACGCGACGCAACACGAGCAACGCACCAACGCTCCTAGCCCCTCGGTAGCCATCCTATAACCCCGTGATGCAGAAATCGAATAGGCGTCGCGCGCAAGACTTAATATAAACTGTGCGGACGCGGGGGTTAACTCATATCGAATCGAATGCAAGCATACGCAAGCAATCGCGATGACGGCGTACTATGTGGTACCCTTACTCACGCGGCCCTCGTTAATCTCGAGGGTTGTGTTCGACACTCAAGTGTCGGCTGACACGCGCCTTGAGGGCTAATCTCTCGACGCTAGACAATCACCGTGCACGGTTGAAGACCACGCAACCTCTTCTGCACCCTTATGCAGAGTGGGTGGTACACAGGTCCATGCCTATGGTGGTAGTTGTCTCACGCGGCCTTAGGGGTAGGTCCTCCCCAGGCCTGGGCGAAAGTTAAGGGGTTTGACTTTGACGGCTACCACGGACTACAACGTCCAACCATAATAATCCTTAAAAAGCAAACAGAGCATACACGAAAACAAGAAGAGGGGCTAGGGCAACCCCCCCCCCCTCCCTTTGTCTTAGAAGGAATTGTGACTTTGGGGTACCCTCCCCTCTTCGGTTGGTGTCGGCGGCCTACAAGCGCTGCACTTACGCGCGAGCCCGTCGATCCCATAACCTTTAGACGCTGGGGCGGCTAGATGTCGCGCGCAGGACTTTAATATAAAGTTGCGCGACCCCAGGCCAATCCTACGCCAACCACTGATGCCAATCATACGTGGTAACCACGGCTCCGGCCTCGCGATATTGAATAGCTAAAGGAACGCATTGCGAGGGGTTACCCCTCACGATATTGAACGACTGAAGGACGCGCCGTTCGGCCCTCGCGACATTTTCGCCTTTCAGGTGGAGTGCCCCGCCGACCAAAGTAAATAGGCTCTATGCGAGGGGAGACTCCTCCCCTTCAGGGCCTAGGCCTTGGGATGTCCTGGACAAGGACCTTGAATCCCGGCCCAGGACCAATATCTCACCAAGAAAGCCCCAAGATGCAAATAGGCAGAGGGGAGGGTCTTCCTTGTCTATCAATCCCAACTTTTACGAGGTGTTAACATGGCCTCTTAGAACTTCCGAACGCTCATCGTACGTATACCCACGCATACATACAAAAAGGGGGATAGAGTTGTGACGATCACTTCTCACAGGCACCGTGGGACTCCTCACAACCATGTATACGTATATGAAGTCGCAGGCACTCCAAATCCAAAATCCGAATCACTGGACATACCTGCAATCACACCAAGAATCAAACGACAAAGCACGCACTACACG